GCATTCCTGACTGGCACCACGCCCAGCTCACAGGAAGCATTGAAAACCTCTTGGGAAAAAGTGGACAGACAGACATCTGTGCGGGTAGCTTTGTCCTTTGTGGCTCCAGCCTGTTTCTGGGCAAAACCCAGAAAAGGAATGAGACCCTGATTCATTGTACAGACCCTTGAGTTTTCCTCAATTTCTCGGGCTGTGACTGCAATGGTCTCCACGAGTTGAGAAATATCTACGTCGTCACTCGCCATGCCGATGTAAATACAGCTCTTCATGCTTTTATACTCAGGGCCTGCAGGAGAAAATGACAGATCCACTTGGTTCCTGAGTCCTCTGGCACAGGTCAGACACGGCCCGCTTGTCTGTGCAACAGCTCGGCCATGCGCAAAGGGCCTCCCTGCGGGGTGAGGAAAGTGGTTCTGACGAGGAGACAGGATGCCTGGAGTGGCTGCAGCAGGGGAAGGGCAGGCTTTCACTGCCCCGAAGAACTAAACAAACGGAGCCCATTCTCCTTAAGCCAGTTGAAAATGGCCTTCTAAAGTTCAGAGCTGATTTATTAAAGTAGTAATTACCCATTTTAAATGTAAGGTCAGATTCCAGTTCGTTTAACTTTTTCAGGAGTCCAGCATGGATTTTTTCCCCTTCTGGATCTGATTTCAAACTGCTCTTATCATCATTAGCATGTTCATACCTATAAATAGCATCAAACAACAGAATTTCAATCTAGAATATGATGTGAGTCTTCAGACACAGGATCACAGGGGGAGTATAAACTATTGGAGGGTACCAAGAACGTGGAGAGAGATGAATGTCTCAAAGAATGGCCAGGTCTCTAGGTCCGTGAAATCTAGAGAGTTGGGCGAGGTCTGGAAGTCTCATCATTTGTGACACAAAAGGGAGCTGTCCCTTATCCTGAAGGAAAGCGGTCGCGGGAAGGACCCCACATGCCGACTACCAAGGACAGAGGAGTTTGCTGCGCTGGGGAGCTGGGTTCTTTCCCTCAGTGATTTGTAATTCTCCACCCACAGGGGATGTAGTAACTTGTGTTGGCACAGAAAGAACATACGGCGACTCCTCTTGCACTGAGTGCGATGTGGGCCCCATTGCCGGCTGCACTGTGCTTTTGTAAAGTGCCCGGGTCATCCTGTAGAATTTTCATCAGCTGTGTACACTGTGCCTACATATATTCATCAGAGATTTCTAAGCTGGCTCACAAAATGACCTACCCGTGGTCTTTCTACAGCAATGAGAAATGAACACCAGGCGGCAAGCAGAAACTGTACCTGACAACCCCTATTCCAGGCCAGTTAGGGTCATCGACGTATAAGAGGCCTGCTGTCTCCGTCACCTCCTGCTTGAACTCCTCTCGCAGCTGTAGTGTACAAGTCAGGACTGGCAGCTGGCTTTGTATGCAGGCCACAAGCTGGTCCACATCCTCTCCCCGAGTTCCTAAACCTGAAATGTTCACAGAATGTTAGAGAAATGCTTGAGAGACGGCTGAAAAAGAGAGAGCAGGGCTCCCACTTCCTGTCAGAGAAGCCAACAGCTCTCAGCATATCCAATCAGCTGGAGCTGAGGAGTTAAAAAAGCCACTAAACCCAGATATGGTATTAAAAATTAACATAGCCAACTGCTCCAGGTGTAGACAGTTTTTCTTACCCAGAAGAATTAGCCCTTTTGATTTAATACACAATAAAACTCTATAGAAATCAGATTCTTCCCACAGAGACTCTGCTTAAGTTAGAAAATCATATCACAGGTTAAACTCAAGGAGGAAACCACACAGTTCTGTCTGCACATTACCATTTGGAGAGAAAGAGATCTGGGCAGGTTTGTGGCAGGGTGATGACAACGGAACCGAATCACTTCTGAAGGTCAGGCCCTGAGGGTCTCAGGGCTGCAGGGACCCGAGTCACTCCTTCCTCACGTCCCTCGCTTCCACTGCTGCACGGGATCTCGCTAAGCCTAACTCAAGCTGCCTCGGTGTCCTCAGCTCCCTTTTCTGGTTTAGAGACCAAGGCGCTGGGGCTGGGAGTGAGGCCCTGCACACACAGCTTCCTGAGGCCACCAGCCACCTTCACGATGGCTTTTCTTTGCAGGACAGATGCCTGCACTTCTCTACTTTGATGCCTTTGAGAAAACATCTTTCCAAAAATCTTGAAAACATCTCATGAAAAGCCATCCAACATTTTCTGAAAATATTTAAATCATCTCAGGATAAAGCACAACTAAAATTTTAAAATCTTTTTTCAGCTTATGTTTAAGTGCCTACTATATAATATGCCTGGCACCACCTAAAGCACTTCATATACATGATCACATTTTAATTTTCACATGGCTACTATCTGGAGATAAGAGACTGGCTCAAGGTCTCACAGGTATGAAGTGCCAAGGGGGCAAGGACCCAGTACTGTGTCGTAAAGCGCGTGTACTCTCAGCCGCACGCTTCCTTAAATGCCTAACACGGCAGTTCTCAACCTTCGCTGGCCTATTAGACTCACCGAGGGAGCTTTTAAAGGTCAGATGCCCAGGCTCCACGCCTGACCCAGAAAATCTGAGTCTCTGCCGGTGGGACTTCTCAAGGTTCCACAGGTGATGCTAATGTGCGGGCTGGGCTGAGAACCACTGAACAGAGAAGGGTCACAAGACATCAAAACATAGGAATTCGAGTGACTTCAGAAGTCTATTTCTGAGAAATTACACTGGAAGGCTAATCTGCCTAAATTTAGCCCAAAAGAAAAAGCCTCTCCAAAGAGAACAGAACATCACAAGGGAAAGCTAGTCAACCCTGAAGCATGGGCTTTAGCAGACTTGCCACCACTGCTCCTGGGAACAAAAATGAATGCAATGCACGGGGACTAGTTACCTGCTGCTGTCGCCAGAGGACTGAACCGCACGCAGACGCCCTCCACTTCCAGGTCCATGACAGTGAGGCCGCCCGCGGGCACCAGACGTTTCAGCTGTTCTCCCAGCTGAAATGGGGAAGGGCGCAGAGTGAGCACGGTCCCGCAGGAGGGCTGTGCCCGCAGACCTGCCCCGTCCGCCCCGTCCGCCCCCATCCACCCCAGTCCGCTCGGCCCTGGACAGAGAAGATGCAGGGGTTGGCTGCCTCTAATTTTTTGATTCTCTTTGAATACTATGGCAACTCCTTTTTAAAAACAGTAAATTTTACATTGATTAACTTAAAAAACCTAAGTTCGTTGTAGGAAAATCTAGGAAATACAGGTAAACCAAAAGAATAAAATAAAAATCATCCACAGCACACCACTGAGAAACACCCACTGCTGTCATGCGGTATGCTCGTTATAGGTGTTTCCCTGTGCGTGTGTTTTATTGTCATAAAACAGGGCGTCTGTACGCTGTGTAGTGACCTGCGTTTTTCACATAACTTATGGCCACTTTCTTTCCTTCATCGACACCTGGCCACAGGGCTTACACGGGCTCTTTTGAACACTGATGCACGGACGCACTGCCCCTTATTCACCAAACCCCATGGGTTAGGCATGTCCAATGTTTCTCCAGGACTGATGCTGCTGCGGTGAACGTCCTTACATCATTTAGAATGTTCTTTACACTAAAACCCTGGAAGTACGACCTCAGGGTCAAGAGGAAGCCCAGGCATGAGGCCCCGATCCGTATGCCGGGCTGCCGGGAGCTCTGGGGCCTCTGGCTCATGTGCCTTCTGATGTCAGCTGACACTGGGCAGAACTGTGACATGCAGCACCGCAGTCCACGCTGTGCAGGCTGTTTCACAGCCCTGCTCAGCAGCACGGAAATGGTCACGTGAAGCCTGGAGGCGACAACATTGAAAGGGCCTCCCAGAAGTCACATGGTTTGTGAGGCGGTGATGCGATTAGGAACAGAACCGCAGAACGAAGCCCAGCGTCTTCACACAAGGCTCCCTCGTCGGGCCTGGTTTCCCTGACGTGTCCAGGCGCCATCGCAACCACCCAGGGTGCAGAGGAAGCGCACGACTGTCCTCTTACCCAGCGATTCAGTGCGTCGCAGGAGCGTCTCTCCCGGCCAACCACCGACGGCGCCGTGTTGGGTGCTGGGACAGCTTTAAGCACTGGTTCTGACACCAAAACAGAGAGAATGGAGATTCACCTGCCAGAAGCACAGCTAACTAAACCGGGAACCCCCTACCGCATTTCATTTAGCTCCTAATTAACCCAAGAGAAAAATATTTTAAAAAATCAAATGTGTATCTTATGATGAATGGCTAAACAAAAGGTAGTATATACATAAAATGGACTATTATTCAGCCTTAAAAAGTAAAGCAGTCCTGTCACATTCTCAACATGGATGAATCTTGAGGACATTAAGTGAAATAAGCCATTCACAGAAGGGCAGATACTGCATGCTTCCGTTTTTATGAGGCATTTAAAGCAGTCAATTTTACAGAAACAGAATGTAGAGTGGTGGTTGCCAGGGGCTGGGGTGTGAGGAAGGAAATGGGGTGTTGTTTAATGGGGACAAAGTGTAAGTTTTGCAAGATGAAAAAGTTCTGGAGAGCTACTGTATGAAACTGTGAATACACTTAATACTACTGAACTGTATGCTTAATGGTTAAGATGATAAATTCCATGTTTTTGAACCACAATTTAAAAATAAATGTATCTTACTAAATTAGACATTATTCATGAAAAATATAACATTTGAATATATTCATATTACTAAAATTCTTAAGTTCATTTTAAAAGTTTTCTTTTAAGGAATTTCAAAAGGAAATCAACATGATAAGGTACCAACTGGTCTACTAAATACTGTGCAAGGTAAATTAGGGAACCTAATAGCTGGGCTTCACAACCAAATTATCCTCCACTCATCAAATGGTCTGGGTGCCTACTCATGCCAGGCGCTGTGCCAAGCAGGAGGGACATAAGGCTGATAAGGTTTCTGTCATCTTGGAGTTTACATTCTACTTGAGGAAACAGACCATAAAAAAAGAAATGAAATCACTATATATTGTCGTGAATGCCATGAAAGAAGGCAGGGGGCTCTGATGTGACATGGAGTCAACTTAGATAGACAGGCCCCTCTGAGGAAGTGGACATTATGGGACCTGAATGGTGAGAAGGAGCCAGCCAGAAGAGGAGCGAGGAGAAATGTGTTAGAGGCAGCAGGAACAGCAAGTGCAAAGGTCTTACTCTAGTAAGCGATTGGGAAAGTGGCCTAAAAGGAAGTCGAAGAGGAAGGCAAGGGCTAGAACCGCAGGCCTCACAAAGCCTAGTACAGAGCCTGGACCTTATTCAAATGAAACAGGAAAGTGACACAGTGTGACTTCCACTTTGTAATGCTCATTCCGACTGCCATGTGGAAAAGGGTCTGGAATGGGCTGCAAGTGACAGATCGGCTGAGAGGGGACTGTGGCCCTCTGGGAGAAAAATAACAGTGGTCTAGACTATGATGGTGGCACCTGGGACACTCTTTAAATAGGGACTCCTGGATCCCACTACTAAATCAAAGTCTCGAGGAAGTAGGGCCCCCCAAATCTCTATTTCCGAATGACTCTTCATCTGTTCCAGCACTAGCGCAGGGACTGAAATTTGGAAACCACTGGTTTAATCATAAGAAATTACTGGTAGAACGCTAAGGCATTCAGGTCTGGAGTTCTTGGGAAAATTATTAAACTTTTCTGAAATGATCAATGACGATTTTGGCAATCAAACTATCTTAGACTATTTAACATGAAATGGCTTAAGATTCAAAGCCCTTAAACACAGATATAAAAACAACTCTCTTTTTAAAATCACCTACCTGAACCTGGTAATTCCTGGAAAAATCTGAACACGACGACTGGGGAACTGAGCTCATCTTCCACCTGAAAAATGGAATCTGATATTACCCAGTACCATTAAATTCCAAACACCTACAAAAATGAAATGGAGTTTGAAAAATAGGCTAAAGATGTTGTATTTTCCTAATAAACACATGAAAGAGTTCAAAGGTTAATTTCAGTTGTTAGAGAAACAAAAATCAAGAGTTCAATAAAATTCTTAGAAATAATTATGTCAGTTCTGAGAATATATTGCTGAATTATAATGTCTGACACCGTTAACTGAAATTAAAGCAGGAGGAAATTTTAATAATAATGGATAAACAGAAGTCTAATATTAAAGATTAAAAAAAGGCAAGGAAAAAGTGGAACTAGAATCAGTGTTTAGAGAGCCAAAGCTTTCGAGTATTCAGAAATGATGCAAACTCAAGAGGGACTGATTGGAACTTTTCATACTCATAGAAAAATAGAGAACAAGTCCTTTCACCTTGTAAAACTCCCCGAAAAGGAGGCAAGTCCTGCTGCCAATGTACATAACCAAAGTCTGGAACTGAAACTATGTATTTTCACTGAAGCAGTACTTATATTCGGGTCAGGCATCAGGCCACCAACCTCACTGATGGATTTAATCACAGAGAAAACGCTAACTGCATGAAGATAAGCCAGTACTAAGTTCAGGCTCTCCACTGACAAACACATAGTCGGCCGTCAGCTCCACTGCGGGGTCAGGACACAAACGGGGCAGTAATGCCCCTGACAGACTGTGGTATTTTGGGGGTGGATTAGGGGGTGAGGAACATGGGGAGAGAGGATCTCTACGCATTCAACAATTCCAGTACTACTATTCTAGTCATAAGACCTACTTTCTAGGGCTGTGTGTCTCGCTCGTAGGGCCACAACAGGAAATAGTACCTTGGAAAGGCAGGAAGTAGTTGGCCCAAGATTTTCCCTATTGACTTTTCAAAGGCCCTTGTGGATGTGATTCAGATCAAGCAAGATATACATTCAAATCTGTCAATTATTAGGCCAATTCTTATGCTTTCATATCTACTATCTTCTTTAACTTATACACATAAACAAATAAATCTATTAATACTTTTAAAGTTAGAAGGGCTTAATAAATAGAATGGAGTTAAGCCCGATAAGGAAATAGGAACAAAAGCGGCTAAATTCTACACCCATTCTCCCGTCCTCAGGCTAAGGCAGAATGATTGCAGTGCCTAGACTTCTATATATATAGTCTTTGTTTCTTATTTCTTTGAGCTCAGTGGTCTCAAATGTCAGTGTGCATAAGAAATACTGTTATCCAGTAGGCCTTCCATAACCATGGGTTCCGCATCCAAGGATTCAACTAACCAGGGATCAAAAATATTCGGAAAAAAAAGTTACGTGTTGCTGATGTATACTATGTATACCATAGTTGCATCTGTACTGAACAAGTACAGAATTTTTTCTTTTCCTTATACAGTGTAACAACTATTTACATAGCATTTGTTATATTAGATATTATAAGTAATCTACAGATGATTTAAAGTACCTGAAAGGATGTGCATAGGTTATATGCAAATACTACACCATTTTATATAAAGCACTTGAGCATCTCTGATTTTGGCATCCATGAGGGATCCTGGAACCAATTCACTGTGGATACCAAGGGATAACTATATACATAGAATTCTGTTCTAGCTACATAGTAAACTAAGCTAATAATGAAGTTATCAATTCTAAATACTGAAAATGCTGTATTAAACATAAGTGATAACCTGCCCCCCTACCCCCCTCCCCCCAAAAAAAAGTTTAAACCACTGCTAGCTCACAAAGGTGAATCTAGAAAGAAGAGAAAACAGAAAGACTACTGTAAGCTGAGCTGCAGGACTGGGAGGAGAGGAGCACATATGGGGCCTGGAACTTGGCTCTAATGTTTAGGGTCCTGGGTCTTTAGGCCCATGAGAGGGATAGTGGTGAGTGTGCACAGCCAGGCTCTTTGAAGAATACTCCCCATGAAAAGATGGAGAGAAAAACTCTATCCACTGACCAGCAAGAAAGCTTAACTCTGCCTGAGGCTCTATAAAGGGAGAAAAAAAAAATTCTCTCATGAGAAATCAAACGCCAGGTGTGCACTGCACCTGGGCTGGATGTCCTACACGATATAGAATCCGAGAGCTGTGAAACCAACATACACCAATGGACCTAGGCCAATCACACAAGGGAAAAAATCTAGCTCATAACACAGGGAGCAAGAGTCAGTAGATACAGCTGAGGGGACAATCTGTGCGCCCAAGAATTGAAACACTCATTAAACTATCTGAAATAGACTATAATAACTGTGTTTTAATGGAGAAACAAAAGACCAGAAAACATTTAAAAGATAATTAAAAAAGATGATTTGAAAAGAACTAAAGAGACCATCCTGAAATTAAAAAGAAGTCACCGAAAGCAAAAATACAGTCAGCAGGTTAAAGAGCAGATTAGAGGCAGCTCAAGAGCAAATTACTCAACTTAAAGAAGATCTCTGCATTAAGGCTGCAAAGAATTGAAAAGTTTAAGAGAGACTGATGGAAGAGGGGAGGACAACAGTCAATGAGCAGCTAACTGAAGTTCCAGATGGTAGACTAGGGAGTCATATTTCAAAAAAATGATTTCTACATAGTTGATTTTAAAAAAGAATCCTCAGGTTCCCAAGCAGGATTTTCAAAATCCTTAGATGTATCATGGTGAAAGTGGCAGAACACTAAAGACAAAAATCTCATAAACCAGCAGAGATGTAAACACGAAACCAGACAGACTGCCCCATGGCGGCATTTTGAGATTCTCACGTGCAAGGTGGCAGTATTAGCTTTTCCCCTTACATGCTGACTAGAGGCCGCCCCTGGCTCTGTGGACAGGGTCTTGGTACTGGTGGCGGTGAGCTGGGTCTGTGTTTCTGGGATGCAAGAGGCTCCGGGACGGCTGTCTGGATAGGAAGGATGAGGCCATGGGAGCTTGGAGAAGGGAGCAGTGCAGTCAGACTGCTTTTCTTAGTGACCTGGGTTCAGGTGCTGGATGTGCCACCTACTAGTTATGGGACTCTGGACACATAACTAATCTGAGCAACAGGAATGGAAATAAGAACACTTCGCCACTGTGACATATTGTGAGGATTCCACAACTCTATGAAAGCACTATACAAATACTGTGGTAAGAAGCAGAAAGACATTTAATAGTTACTTACATTTTATGATGCCTCCCAAGATATACTGCTTTCCCATTTTCCTTTATCCGATATGCCCTTCCTACAAGCCCCGGAAACAGGACAAACTAATTTCTCCTGTAAACTGACCTACCACAGAGAGGTTCACTGGTGAAGAACACAGACTTTGGAGTCTGAATCCCAGCTCTACCGCTCTCCAGCTGTGTGGCTTGGGCAACCCATCAGATCTGCCTGTGCCTTAGTTACTTCACCAGTAAACGGGGAATGACCACTGCATCCAACTCATGGTTGAGATTTACCTCTTCATACCTGAATGCCTACTCTATGCCAAGTACTATATTTGGCACAGGGCTTAAAACTATAAAAAAAAACAGACAAAAGCCCCTGCATTTATGAAGTTTCTACAGGGAAAAACATGCAATGAACAAATATTAATACTATTTCATGTAGCAGTAAGTGCGAGGAAGAAGGAAAAAACCCAGAGGACAGAGAGTGACAGGTGGTGGTGGGGTGTGTATATAGGGTGGTCGGGGAAGGCCCCTCTGAAGAGGTGATATCTGAAGTAAGAGCTGAAGGATAAGAAGCTAGCCATGACAGAATTAGGGAGAACTGTGTTCCCAGGTAGAGGGACGCGCATGTACAAAGGAGACTGTGTGAGGGTTAAATGAATAACACACGTAAGGTACTCAGAACCGTGCCTGGTATACAGCAAGCACTTCACAAACAGCAGCTGTGACGATGACGAAGATGATGATAATGTTTAATGACAGGCCACAATCCCTCATGGTGTTTGCCAAATACTATATTCTCTACTGAGAAAAGCAGCCATTGGAAGGAGATGGACAGGGTTTATCGCTGGGTCCTATGTGGCCTTACAAAGATGCTCCAAACCAACGGGTGGTTACCTAGCACCAGCAGATCCTCCCTGCTTGGAGGAGAATGAGGGAGAATTAGGACATGAGGAGGGGACCGAGCAGGCTCAGTGAGGGAGAGACAGAAAGTACACAGGCCCAGCTTGCTCCCTACCAGCTTGCTCATTCTAATCCATAATTTGGGTTTCTCTGTTTGCAGTCAAAGGAGTCCAACCAACATACCTTCTCTGACAGCATCGCTCACAGGCTTAAGAGAATGACTCAATGTCACAGGTCCCCGTGTTATGGCTGAAATTAGAACCCAAGTCTCCTGACTTACATTCATCCCTCTTTCTCTCCAATGGGCCACGCTCCTCTTCCAAGTTAGAATTCAGGTCAACTCAGGTCATCTGAGTAGGCTCCAAGCTCGTATTCAGAAGGCAAGGCAGAGCGGCCCCCCTTTTCTGGTGCTTAAACCAAACCATGCACTAAAATGGATATAAACTGCATGAACCTGAACCCCAAATAAACTCAAATATTAGTTTTAAACTGAACTGTATCCTGCAAAATTGTCAGAGAAACATCCAGTGACTGTTTAAATTAGAATCTGACCTATACATTTTCTGAAATTCTAAAATGCAATAAAGCAAAACATGAAAACATTCAAACCTGAACTGATACTTGGTTATTAGCCTCATGAAATCCTCACTGTCTAGTTATTATCCCTAGGGAGGAATCTCTGACAGACTCTGGTATCTTTTAGGAAAATATCAGGGGAAGATGAGAGTGGAGCCACTTGCTTCCTTATTCCCGTTTGTGCAAATAAAAACTCTGGCGTCAGGTTTTAGAAAAAGTAGGCCAACGCATTCTGAGATAAAACGATTTCTCATTTCAGGAAGATGGGTGTTCAAAAATCACTGGGCAGGTGAAGTCAATGGTGTAATTAGATCGTTGTGCAATTCTTAATTTTAACAGAACAAAACTACAAATGGAAAAGCGCTGTGAAAAGCACAGTAGGGGTTCAAACAGTGTATGTGGCAAATTTCTAGGCTTGATGCTAACTGTGGAATGAGGTCATCAGTACATGCATGAGTCTCTTCCAAAGAATATGGTTTTACAGGAGCTGCCACAATTCCACTGAAATGCATCGAATCTGGAGAAAATCATTCTAAGTTGCTGAAGTTAAAAGTTATTTACTTCAAAAACGGATCAAATTATATACTATACCAAGATTTTGATGTGGTTCACTTTCTTCAAACTTTCTTGCAACCGTTGACTCTGCAAATAACAAAACAGCTCATGTGATTTCATTAGATTGACATGACATATTAAACAATTTTCATGAGGTCTTTGCCTGTCTGCAAACAAGAGTTTCAGTCAGATAAAGCCATCTATCTATTCGTGAGTCCCAAGTTCAACTGCCAATTCCTGCATTTCAACATCTGCAAATATTCCTTATTCTTTCAATTTAAAGTTATATTTAGTGGTTGAAGAAGAGCTTTTCCTGATGAGATATGTGTGAATTTTTCATATTAGCGATATATGGCATTCACTCATTCAAAAACCACTGAATGCAACAAAAGTAAAAATAAACAAGTGAGAATGCATCAAACTAAAGAGCTTCTGCACAGCAAAGGAAGTCATCAATAAAATGAAAAGGTAACCTACTGAATGGGACAAAATATTTACAAATTGTTTATCTGTTAAGGGGTTAATATCCAAAATATATAAAAAAATTCATATAATCCAAAAGCAAAAACCCCAAACAATCCAATTAAAAAACAGGTAGAAGATCTATATAGACATTTTTCCAATGAAGACATAAAGATGGCCAACAGGTAAGTGAAAAGATGCTCAGCATCCCTAATCATCAGGGAAATGCAAATCGAAACAATAAGATAGCACCTCACACCTGTTAGAATGGCTATTATCAAAAAGACAAGAAATAACAAGTGTTGGTGAGGATGAGGAGAAAGGGGAACCTTGTGCACTGCTGGTGGGAATGCGACCTGGTGCGGCCACTGTGGAAAACAGCAGGAAGGTTCCTCAGAAAATTAAAACTAGAACTACTGTATGATCTAGGAATTCCACTTCTGGGTATTTATCTGAAGAAAAAAAACATTAATTCAAAAAGATATCTGCACTCCTATGTTTATTGCAGTGTTATTTATAATAGCCAAGACATGGGAACAACCAAAGTGTCCATCCGTTGATAGATGAAGAAAATGTGACATGTATGTGGAATACAATGGAATTATTCAGTCATAAAAAAGAATGAAATCTTGCCATCTGCAACGATATAGAAGGACCTTGAGGTCATTATGCTAAGTGAAATAATTCACACTGAAAAAGACAAATACCATATGGTCTCCTTTATATATGGAATCTAAAACAAAACAAAATAAAAAGCTCATAGCTGCAGAGAACAGATTGGTGGTTGCCAGAGGCATGGAGCTGAGGGTGGGTGAAATGGATGAATGGGGCCAAAAGGCACACACTTTCAGTTATAAAATAAATCATGAGGATGTAATGTACAACATGGTGACAATAGTTAATAACACTGTATTGCATATTTGAAAGTTGTTATGACAGTAAACCTTAAAAGTCCTCATCACGAGAAAAAAATTTTTAACTATGTACGGTGACAGAAGTCTAGTTATAAACTTATTATTGTGGTGACCATTTCAAAATATATATAAATGTCAAATCATGTTGTACACCTGAAACTAATATAATTTTGTCAATTACAACTCAATAGAGAAGAAAAAAAATACTGAGTGCAAATACGTGCAAGGTACAGCACCTACTACTGGGGGAGGAGGAGCAAGATAAGCAAGAGCTGTTAAAGGCTGGTTAAGAGCTGGTTAGGAGCATGGGGTCTGGATAACCACACCTGGGTTCCAAACCTGACTGTGCCACTCGTCACCTGTAGGATACTGGATAAATTAATCTGCCACTTATTAGCTATGACCTTGAACAAGTTATTTAGCCTTTCTGTGCTTCAGTTCCCTGAATTATAAAATGGGGATGATAGTATCTATCTTGCGGGGTTGTGAAGATTAAATGAGTTGACATATGTTAAGTGCCTAGTAATAGTGTGTAAAACATGGTATGACATGCATATCACATTCGTATCTCAATTCCAGGTCTGTCACCACTGATGTGAAGATGAAACAGTATCTACCTGAGGGGGGTGTGGTTCCTTATTTCATCATATACTTTATGAGCATCAGACACTGGGAAACCCTTCGAGACAACTGAATCTTAAATATGCTCTTCTCAGTGGACTTTATGTTCTAGTGAAGCTGTGGGGATCAGAGGAGATACTGCATGGACAGTCTTCGCAGCGCTTGGCACTGAGTAAACGCTCAGTAACTGCTTTCCGTGAAGTAAAGACGATAGGTGGAAGAAAGGAGGAGGGCAGGGGGAGGAGGAGGAGGTGGAGGAGGAGGAGGATTTTGCTCTCAGAGAACCTATGCCCTAGTATGACCGTCAGGCATGAACGTACACTAACCACGTCTGAATTCCCACGCAGGGCACCATGTGCAGTTAGCAGTGGTGAGTCAACAAGAGGACATTATTTAAGTCCTCAAGAATATGTAAGATCAGCTAGCGTTTGCTTGCAGGAAGATGCCAGAGCTGCAGTGACCTCAAGGCAGCTGATGTCATCTTTTTTTTCTTGCACTCCGTAAGCCAAAGGGAATTGAAAAAACTCTCCCCTGAGGGCCTGAACCCTTCCCAAAGGGGCTTCAGTTACTACGGCAATAAAGGTTTTCCTTCCAAAGAAGCAAACTGCAAGATGTGAGCCAACAGCCCAGTGAGAAACTCTTTTTAAATGTAGTGCTTCTGTGAACACAATGAACATAAATCTTAAAATTATTTAATGTAAAAACCAAACTACTTCATTTAGAACGTTTCTATTTCCTTAGAAACTAATGTTAGAATGAACCACCATGACATTATGAATCAGAGGACGCCTGTTACAGTTATACGAAAATACTTACTTTTTCTTAAATATAAAAATGACACTTGAGGAAGTGCCAATTCCCCAGGAATATGCTTAAAACAAAGATTTACTTTTAAACCTATTTGCATAACTTACTGTACAGTCAGGCACTACTGTGAGAGCTTTACATGGATGAACTCATTAAGTCCTCATAATAGTCTTTGGGATAGCATTATCCCTATTTTACAGGTATGAAAACAGGGGTATGGAGAGGTGATGTCATGCTTTTAGATTTAGGTAGGACTCAGTTCTCAAATGCATAAAGATGACATTCTTTTGCTTTCTAAACTACAACATAATTATATATTTTTCACAATTAGAACATCTCAAAGAGAAAGAGAATTAAAACTGTCCCCCAAAGCTTTGCAATTAAGGAACCCAAGCCAGCTGATGTTAAAAATCTACATGGCATCTATAATCAGCCCCTGCCCAGCATGCTCCTTCACCCTCAAGCGTCAGTCAATGGAGTACTTATCCCGCTCTGCGCCCATCGCCACTCTCTGGCTGTCATCTTGTGGCCTCTTTTTCCATCCCATGCTGACACCCACATTCATTTGAATCTGATTTCCTATGGACACAAATGCTGGGACAACCCCAGCAGTCTCTCCCAGAACTTTGAACAAGAAACGTATACAAGCAGGGCTATTAGTCTGCTTGCTATGAGATGGGAAATACAGACAAGGTATTGGATGGAGAATAAATCCATGAAGTATTTTTCTGACACTACTTTGGTGATGGAGTATTTGTGACTCATTTAAACTTAAAGTTCCTACTCACCAGTTGGCAGGCATGCTTAATCCTCTCCACAATCCCATCAAGTCCCAAGTATTGTAAGGACAACCACAGTGGCAGGGCACGGAGTTTGTCGGCTGGCTTATTTGACGTAAGACCGGCAACTAACGTCTAAAAAAGCCGATATGGGTTTATTAACCATAGCCAATGAGATCACATAGCAGAATTAACTAGTTTCCATTTACCAGGCACTTAATACATGTCAGACGCTATGCCAGGCCACTTGGCTTGCATTATTCATTTGCAAATCCAACAAATCTATGAAGTAAGTATTCTAGGCAACTTAGCTCAGAGATCTTGCTTTGTCCAAAGGCTCGTGTCTGAGATTTGGCAAAGCCAGGATGAGAATCCAGATGGGTCACATCCCAGAGCCGGAGCTCTTAGCCACTCAAGAGGCAGCCACTTCCAAGGCAGTTCTGAGCGTCCTCAAATACTTAGTCATTATCAACTGGGCAAGACATCAACTGTTATAACAAGGGTCACTTAAAGCTTATTTGCACGAGCCTACCACCAACTGATCCACTATCAAGAACCATCGCTGTACCTTTTAAAAAATATCATGTTACGACCCTCTAGACAATGTAGACCAAGTGCTTTAAGTACTCCGACAGGAATGCTACTTCTTGGGAACCTATTCTACGGAAATAATTTGAACCACAGAAAGATGCTCATTGTTTCAGTAACAAAAATTTGAAAGTATCCAGAAGTTCACAAATGGAGAATGATTAAGTGTGGCATTAGAGTAACAGAATATTATGCTTTCATAAAAAGTTCTTCGTACACACAAGTATGGGGAGAATACACGTGGTAAAGTTTCATTTCTGTTACTGACAGTTTTTTTAAAAATAAAAAGTCATAAAAGTGGCATTAATTTTTCGGTTTTTCTGTATTTTGCCCCCAGATCCATAAGGATTAGCCACTCCCACTCCCTGCCAGTGAGAGAGAGTAAGCTTACCAACGCAGGATCGTCGTGTTTATAAAGGGTGACTGCAGGGACAGCTGGCAAACCCAGCCATGGGCCTGGGGTCAATGTCATGCTATCGCATTTGGTTGCAGCCTACCAAAGAGAGGACAACTTCTTGTTAGACTATCAGAGTACATGAAACCCAACACCCTCCTCCATTCATAAGAACTGGGAAAAGCTATCAGGGATTAAATGATTTTAAATGCTTTCTTAAAAACATAATATTTAGTAAATCAACAACATACCAGCACTGACGAGGAAACATAACCTAGAGCCAACGTTGCCAGATTCACACTGGAAGAAAAAACACCGATCTAAGAATCATTTACTGCTGCTTATTCACTAAGTATGTACTTTACAAAGAAAGAAAAGAGAAAGAGGCTGTGTTATTCTGAGATGACATTTAAATGTGTTTCAGCTGTGTTATTAGTTTTTATAACAGTAACAGAAAATGTAGTACCTACAAATTTCAGGAAAACCTTGAAAGCGCATTTTAATAAAAATGTACTTCCAGAGATTATCTCCTATTTACTTAGTGTAATGGGTCTCCTACCTTTCATAGCTATTATTTTCCAGTCATCATTCTTTCTCAGAGGGATAAAATCAGAAAGCAGCCTACCTTGCATGTGCCAGGTATGCACTATTCCGGCCTCCCCGCATCCCCCTCACCCACACTTCTCTCGGCAGCCCTCCAACGGCCTTCTAGGAAAACGTCCCAGTCTCTTCCATCAGACAACTTTGGGGGGAGGGGACACCGCCACCTGCTCCAGAGGTGGGCAAATAAGCTAAGCTATAAGAGTATTACATTTCCCTGACCACGCTGATTGGGTCGGATGAGACTTAGTATTAGAAATTTAATTCTAACCCAAAGGACACAAACCTGAAAAGAAGGCTGGAGCTGCTGCAGCTACTTTGCACCATAACAGGAAAGTCTATCTATAGATGAAGCCAACACAGAGGAAATCAAGCCAAGTGCTGGGGTGGGGAGTGGGAGGGCACAACACAAGGACACGAAGTCCTGACTGACGTTGTGCCTGAAGCCAATACTAACACTGTACTTTTTTTGTTATGTGAGCCAACAAAATCTCTTCTCACTTAGGCCGATTTGGGTTGTTTTGTCGGCAACTGAAGAGCCCTTAGTGATAAATGTCACAACTAAGTGGGAGCCCGGATGTCCGCTCCTCATGAGCGCTGTGTGCAGGCCAACCCTGGAGCCAACCTCACCCTCCACTCACCCCTCCACGTGAAGCCACATGCCATACTGCTCACAGAGTTCTCTCAAACGCCCAATCTTATCTGTGTGCCCTACCGCTGCAGTTCCTAGGATAAAACACACAAAAGGACACTAAAAGGAACAAATATTTTCTAAGTCTTTACAGTATGGTTAAAGCTTTTCTATACCTTATCTCCCTGTGAGAGAAGTAATATCATATCTCTGTTTTATTAAGATTTTCTTGGTAGACTGGCTTAAAAATCAACCTTTTCAAGTTAATTATTCAAGTTTTGAAGACTGTGTTCTCCATTATTTGTATCTATAACACAAGCCTGTTAATTGTGTTATTTAAGTTCTCTATATACTCATTTTCTATCTATTTCATCTGTTTTATGAGAAATATATTCAAATCTCCCACCAAAATTATGGGTTTGTCAATTTATACTTGTATTCTATCAATTTTTCCTTTACATATATCAGTCATATTCATAAGCATTCATATTGGTTCACTTTCAGATCATATGAATTATAATTAACATGACATCTACTTTATCTCACACTAACACTGCTAGAGTACTTTATTTACCCAAAATATCTTTTTTCCACTCTGACTTGTCATTTTCCGTGCTATTTTTATTTAGGTATGTCCTTTATTAAAAATATAGATGAATTTGAGGTGTTTTTAACCCAATTTGGAGGTTCTTTGTGTTAAAATAGAACATGTATTCTGAAGTCAGTTTGAACATATCAATTCATTTACACTCCAGGTTTTCCTGGGTAGACCCGTAACCACAAGCACAGTAATATATGGAGTCATGTATTCTCCCAACCATCCTAAATTTCCAGCTAGCAGAATCCCCTTTAGTTAAGATTTCAAATCCTCAACAAACACAACTGATATAAGTGGTTCTTTTGCAAGGGTTATGGGCTGAAAACTCTTTTCCCCACACAAGTCTGCCTCAAGTTTTTACAAAATCTTAACTGACACATTTGGTTCCATTGAAACAAGGTCAAAGGCCAATGCGCGGATTATGTCACATGGCCCATGAAAACATAAACCACTGTGCCATGTTTTAGTGACTGGACCACATTCGGATTATTCTTTCAAGTTTTTTGGCATGTCTGCTGGTTAACCCCTGGGATGTGTACTCTGGTGACAGCAATGGAGACACACTGGTAAGTTACTCAGTCACGTTTTAATTGCAGCCTCTCCCATCTTTCAAATGATTGAATATGGGTGGATTTATGTTTCTTTTTAAACATACAATATGCTAAATCAGGCAGGAAGTGGTGGTTTTCCTGGAAGCAATAAGGTGGCTATTTTTCTGTTTATTATTATTTTTAAAGTATAGTTGGCTCTCTCTGCAGCCAGAGGTTTCGAATCTGCAGATTCAACAAGCTGTGGATTAAAAATATTTGGAAAAAAATCTCAGAAAGTTCCAAAAGCAAAACTTGAATTTTCCATGTTCTGAGCACTGTGCTGAATCCACACGAATGAAGTGACGTGTAGGCATATCCTACTGTAGTCTAGATGCAAATGCAGGTTATATGCAAATACAACACCATCTACATTGGGGCTTCAGCATCAGATTTTGGTATCCAAGGGGGAGGAGGAGGGTCCTGGAACCAACCCCTGTGGATACCCAGAGATAACTGTAATCAGCTTTACTGATTAAAGTTTAATTTATATGAAATAAAACCCATTCATTTAAGTAATATGGTTTAATGAGTTTTGCCAGATGTATACAGTATATAACCACCACCAGTCAAGGTAGAGAGTATTTCCATCACCCCAAAAGTTTCCCCATTCACCTTGAGGTTTCACTTCTTTCCACTCCTCACTGGTTCCAGACAATCCTGGAACCAGTGATTTTTGTCTTTCTGTCACTGAGTTTTGTCTGTTTTAGAATTTCATATAAATGGAATCATATACTATGTAACTTCTATGTCTGGCTTTCTGCAGCTAGTATGCTTGTGAGAAACATCTCTGTTGGTATGTATATCAGTAACTATTTCTATTTATTGCTTAGTAGCCCACAAGATGGGTATAACACAACTGGTTTATCCATTCACAAGGTAAAGAACATCTGGGTTGTTTCTGATTATGAGTATTATATACAATTCTTCGTACAGACTTGTTTTCATTTCTCTTTGATAAATACCTACAAGTGGGACTAATGGGTTATACGGTAATTCTAAGTTTAACCTTTTGAAGAACTGCCAAACTATTTCTAGAGTAGCTGTAACATTATTCACACCCCTACCAGCAGTGTATGAGTTCCCATTGCTCTGCATTCTCGCCAGTGTTTAACATTGTATTTTTTTATTTTCTGCATTCTAACAGGTAAGTAATAGTAGCCCATTGTGCTTTTAAGTTGCATTTCTCTAATGAGTAATGACATTAGGCATTTTTTTAAATGCACATGCATTCATATTATTTTCTTTTGTGAAACATCTATTCAAATCTCTTGTTCATTTAAAAAATTGTACTGTCTCCTTAATGTTGAATTGTAAAACTTCTTTACACATTTTCATACAGTATATGTCAGAAAAATGTTTCCCAAATATTTTCTCCCAGTCTGTAACTCGCCTTTTCATTTTCTTAACAGGGTCTTTTGAACAGCAAAAACTTTTAATTTTTTTTTTCTGAAAAAAATTTTTTTTTTTTTTTTTTTTTAAGGCAAGGCAACCCTTGGTTGACCTCGGAGACTGCAAGGACCTTGTCAGCTTACAATCCCTTATTTTTTATTTTTTACACCTACAGCACCTGGTCTTCCTAGGTGGTCTCCCATCCAAGTACTAACCAGGCTCGACCCTGCTTAGCTTCCGAGATCAGATGGGATTGGGCTTGCTCAGGGTGGCATGGCCGAAGACTAAAACTTTTAATTTTTGATAAAGTTCAACTTATGATTCATGCTTTCCATGTCCTAAGAAGTCTTTGCTTAACACAAGGTCACAAAGATCTTCTGTATTTTCTTCTAGAAGTGTTACTGTTTTGGCTCATACATTTAGGTCTTTGAACCATTTATAATTTTTGTATTTAGAGTAAATTGAGATAAAGGTCAAGGTTCAATTTCTTTCAAGTGTTCCAAAACCACTGATGGAAAAGACTATCCTTTCTCCCTTGAATTACATTGAGATTTTTGTAAGAAATCAAGTGACCATATACATGTAGGTCTATTTCTGAACTCCCTATTCTCTTTAATTAATCTCACACTCTCTGATTTGTAGCATTACAGTAAGTCTAAAAGTCAGGATAAGTCTTCCAATTTTGTTCTTTTTCAAAATTATTTTGGCTATTTTTAGATCCTTTGTAGATTTCATATTAATTTTAGAATCAGCTTATCAATTTCTACAAGAAATTGTAGCCTGTTGAGATTTTGCTATGGATTGAGTTGAATTTATAGATAAATTTGGGGAGATTTGACTTAATGAGTCTTTCGACCATGCATATAGCACATCATTCATTCCATTTATTTGAGTCTTTCTGAATTTCTCTCAGCAACATTTTATAATTTTTGGTGTACTGATCTGGTATATATTTTATTAAATTTATCCATAAAGTTTTGAATGACATTTTAAATTCAATTTCAATTGTTCATTGCTAGTATACAGACATCTTGCGACCTTAATAGATTTGCTTATTAGTTCCAATAGCTTTTCTTTGGTTTCCTTAGGACTTACTATTTGTACAATCGTGCCATCTGCAGATAAAGACAGTTTATTCTTCCTTTTCAATATGTATGTCGTGTAACTATTTTTTTTGCCTTTTTGCACTGTCTACTTCAAGTGCAATGTTAAATGCACTATGGCAAGCAGAACAGAAAGTGAGAATTGACCCTGTCTACAAGGTGGACATTTGTATGACGTTTTAGAATCCAGTTTAGAAAGGAAGCACATGAAAGAGTAGAGAAGCACTTACAACCTAAATGAAAAAGTATACACACACAAAGTAACTCCCCAAACAAACCAACAATTAAAGGAATCTAATGAGCCAACTTTAGTGTTATAATTCTCAAAACAATGCTGATACAGACCATCTTAAGCATGTGGCAAACAAACATTTCTTAAGACTTGGTCTTTTTTAAGCTAAGTACCTAGCTTCTCTCTTACATGTTCAAAATGGAAGATTTGGGTTCATGACACCTACCAGCATTTGCAACAAGCAATAGGGGCAGTTTTCCTCGTTCTATATCATCTTTAATCAGTTTCTCCAGGAGGGCAACATCCTGGGATTAAAAGACAAACCATAAGAGCATGAGGCAAACAGCATAAAAGCTATACAACGAAAAAGTATAACTTCCAAATTAATCACTCAAGTCAATTCTTATTCTTGACGATTCTTCTATTCTCTCTAATCATAAACATGAAAATCAAAGTTTTCCCTAAAGACTAACTAGAAAAATTAGTAAAGTGTGATTAAAGTTAAAATCTGCATATACAGAACCAACATTTCTCTAGTTTAAAACATTTATGTTTAAAGGAAATGTTCTCTCAACACCCCCAAAAAGCCAAAACTGTACCTCTAGTATTACTCAGTAATGAATCTGAATTACAGAAAAACTACCTTGAAAAAAACTAAAGAACCCTAAAACCTATCCCTTTTGCTTCTAGCTTCAGTATGAAAAGTCTTATGACTTGCATGTCTAAAAACAGAATCCAATCCTAAGATTACAAATGAAGAAGCTCATTTTCAAAATCTTCCCATTCATAAATCCAGGCAATAGTGATAACCATTTCAAAGGATGAGCTATAGAAGGAATTACTGGGGCTTAACTGGACTCCATGTTTCCTCTTAAAGCAGGTGATATAGTGATTACAAGATCTTAAGATCCAGGTACTCCTGATCTATATGCCAGCCAACCTTCATGGTCATTCAAACCCGAAGCATGTATTACGCAATGGGAAGATTTAAGCGATAAACAAATAAGCTTATAATTATCTGGAAGCCAGCAAACAGAACTTCACCTGATAGGAAGACACGGATTCAAAATACAATTCCATATTATTTTACAAACCAAAAGAAGAACTCACCATCTGATGCTGGGATCCAAACATAGTGTTACAGGGTACACGAGATAAGCAGGGGAAGGGCAAGCCAAGCTGTAAGAAGAAACATACAATTTTACAAGGAAGCTCTGTCATCATTCACTTATGCCCTCAAAAAACTGTGGCTCTAAGACAAGTCATAATTATTCTTTTTAAACAATTTCTCTCCTTAGGAATTCTTAATATTTTAAGAGGGCAGAGACAATGCAAAATTTTCTAAACGCATCAACTATCAACTCATTTTCTAAATGAGTAAATATCTTTGGTATATTCTATATACCAAAAAAGAAACACACTTTTTCCAAACTGGAGAACAACCAAGACTTGAGCATTTTGGGGATAATTTAGGATATTTCCTCCAAGAATTAGTGGTAAATGACACCGGCTAAAGGCACTCAAAGAACAATATCTTATTTATGGGTCCATCTACTCCTAAAAAGCCATAAATAAGGACCAGCAGGTGCACATTTCTTAATAGAAATAAAATCAGTGTTATGACGATGGTAATGTCATATTTTATACTCTTCGTTTTTAGCTTCCAAGTCTTTGAGTTTATAGTTTTAGAAATTCTTAAACAGTTGCAGTCTATTGTACTATATAACTAAGATTTGCTAGAATTGAAAGACCAAAAATGTAGAGAGTATTTTAGTCACACTTTTTTCCCCTTAATGGATTTCTTTTTAAATTATGAAAGTGAAGACCAAATAAAACACACAATGAAAAATACAGAAATTAAAAGTGAAACTGCCCCCACATAAGCCACCAATCCCTCACTATTAAACAAGTTAGTATGGAACCTGCCATTTTTTTAGGTATAAATATATTTATATATTTTTCTAGGTATAAAAAATATGCATATAAACATGTAAACACTTTTAAAAACATGAACATGACCATCTTATACACAAAGCCGTGTCAACTGCCTTTCTCACGTAACAGGATACCCTCACACATCTTTTTAAGGCTGGACTGCTGTCCCAAGACAACCCTGGGTCCATAAAAGTCTGGCTCGTAGTAGGTACTCAGTAAGTAATTTGTTTCATGCTTCTATAGGGATACTACAAAACTCCCCATTTTGTACATCCTCAAGAGGACATAATTTCTGACCACAGCTCAGAACCAACTTAAATCCTTGAATTTCCCACATATATCTTCCCAGGGCTCCTCTATCTTACAAAAGACAAATCTTCCTAACAGTTTTGTCTTAAAATATTCTTGGCCAAGAGGCTTAACAATTTCTTTCCCAAGGTAACCTCCTAATCGGGCTACGTGTACTGTGAACTTTAAAAATGGTGATGCTCTTTGATCTAGTGATTCCAGATTACTCTGACAATCAGAGGAATATAATCCTAAACATAGAAAAAGCTTCATGTATAGATGTCCATAACAGCACTATACAAAAGTGTTACCTGAAAATGGTCATAGGAAGCAAACGAATGCAAACACTCTAATTGTACAAAAGGCAAACAATTAGTTAAAATACTATATACTCACTTGAAGGAATATTATGAAAACATTAAAAATAAACTTTATTTTGAAGAACTGTTAAAAGATATGGACCTGTTATAACAGTAAGTGGAAAGGGCCACATATAAGCATGTAAAAACACACATGTAGAAATAAAGTAAAATGCTGACTGTGGCTGTCTCTGGGCAACTAAAAAAGGTAAATATCTTTTTTAAATATAATTGATTAATATACGTTTATATGTGTGTGTATTTTTTTTTTTTTTTTTAGGCGAGGCAACCCTTGGTTGACCTCACAGATTGCAAGAACCTTGTCAGCTTACAATCCCTTATTTTTTATTTGTTACACCTACAGCACCTGGTCTTCCTAGGTGGTTTCCCATCCAAGTACTAACCAGGCCCAATCCTGTTTAGATTCCAAGATCAGACAGGATAGGGCTTGTTCAGGGTGGCATGGCCGTAGACGTATATATTTTTATAATGACAAAACAAGCATATAAAAAAATCTTCTTACTTAAAAAGAACACCAGCTAAAGAAATGAGTTTACACACTTTAAAAAGTTCCAGGACAGAACAAAACATCGAATCTTTAAAAATCCACCTTACATCCCATTACCTGATTACAAAGGTACTGGCCCAAGCCAGGCCTAGCAGCAGCACTAAGATATACAACAGGCTTCTTGTTGTACAACACATTGAATCCATCCACTACAAAGTCTTCATAACGAGAATGAATGGCGAGCCTGCAGATCTTTGCAAGTCCTTCTCTTTCTTCTTCATGGAAATAAGCGCAGCCGTTTTCATACCTGTTAAGAGATACCCATGTATCAATATGTTCTTATCTCTGGTTAACTCTTATTTTATATCCCAATCTTATAATCATGAAGCAATTCTTTTCTCAGCCTAGAAACTGCCACCTACATAAGTCAAAGGGACGAGAATCACCATCATTTCAGGTGGCTAACATCTCCTTATAGATGGAGATTACAAGGAACAGAGGCAATGCCCCTTCGTCCATATCTATCTCTACAAAAAAGCAGAAACTATAAAAACCAGTAAAGAACAAGTCCCTCTGACATAAAAAGGCTGAAAATCACAGTTTTGGCTTATTCTACAAGAAGCCCAATGCTGGATAACACGGGCAAGGTTCTTAGCAGAGTTTCAGCTCTAAATCATCTGAAGTAAATAAAATCATCGAAAATGCTAGTCAGGCTAACTTTTCTGCTTTTCTAACTTTTTTACTCTTCTTAACCTCTTAGAGAAGAAGAATAATTTTAATTATAGGTATTGAATTTTATTAGGAGAAAATTTTTCCTTTGCGATACAGCTAGGCAAACATATTCTCACCAGGCCAACCTCTGAAAAGCGAGTCTCGCAAGTCAAATGTTCCAGCGTCAGGCAAACACAAAAACATACTACCTTTTCCATAAAAGTAATAATGAACACAAAAATAACTACTAGTCCTGTGTCTTCCACTGAATCCTTAATCTGCTATAATTCCTTAATAATGCCAACATTATCATGGTATCGAGAAAATTTCAATTTCATAACATACTCTTCTTCTTTATGACATTTCTTTTCTACTAAAGCACAAGCCAACACTTTAAAATAACTGAATCAACTTCACTTTCTATCAACATGTGCCAATTAACAATCCCCAAAATAAACTGCTGACATCATCTAACTCATATGTGCTTAGATTCTTAGCTCTTTACATGAATTAATTCATTAGCTCTTTTAATCTTCACAACAATGCCATGAAAAAGGTATTAATGCTATCTATCTCCAGTTAGTAGATGAGAAAACTAAGGCATGGAGAGGTTAAACAACCCTTCCCAGAGGAAGGGGAAGAGGCGGCTTTAAACCCAGAGAGCAGAGCTCCAGAAAAGATCTCTCATCGTCTATACACAACTCATAAATATCTTTATCAGAAAGTAAAAACTTGTAATTTTTTTACCTGAAAATTCTGCATAGCCATAAGGTAGTGTCTGAAAGTATCCTAGTTGTAAGTTTTCTCAGCTTCTCTTTGTCCAATGTTGAAATATAAGCTCCCAGACTATGCCCCAGCAAAGCTATATGACCTTGTTCTCCAATATTCTGGATTCTGTTAATCAAAATTTATTATATTAAAAAAAGCAGTATTAAAAACATAAAAAATAAAACTTTGAGAGACAGTATTCCACAGAAATTTCTGTCAGACTGGAAATCCACTTAATGGCCTGGAATGCAGAAATGTAGATAAATTTAGAAAATTCAACGCCTTTAAGGTATCAATTATCTACAAAGAAAAATATTTTTTAAATTCATAGAAGATAAATATCTTTCTTTTTATTGACTAATAAATATACAAACTGTTTTTGAATAATGTTCCCCTGAAAGTTTTTAAATTTGAAAGCTGTAAGAACTAAAAGAGCTAAATGTGCAGAACACAATTTTTTAAAGAATCATTAAATGAAGATCAATTTACTGTATTAATTAGCTATTTATAACCATAATACAGCAAATTCAAGGGGAACTAGGCATTGTTTTATATATAATTTAAATGAATAGACTAATATCCCTTAATAAGTCAATAGGAAAAAGACAGGATACTGGACAAGAGATAGTTCATAGAAAAGGAAATATAAATGGGTCTGAAAACATACAAAAAGAACACAACCTGGTTCATAAGAAAAATGCAAATTAAAATTATGCTGAAATATCATTTCTCATCTATCAGACTGGCAATGACTCTTAAGTTGGCTAACAGCCTCGCAGGCAAAGGAAAAAGAGGTCTCTCGTACATTGCTGGTGGGACTATAAATTGGCATAATTCCACGAAGGGAAATTTAGCAATATCTATCAAAATCGCAAATGCACCAACTATTTGGCCCAGCAATTTCACTTCTAGGCCCTTTATTTGCCAGAAAGCTCCTTTATGCAATGAACTCCAAGACATATGTGGAAAAAGCAAGGTACAGAAAAATCTGCACAATATTTATGCACTGGAGGGGTTAAGTAAAGACAATTTGCTTGTATATACATACATACACACAAAATATCTCTGAGAATACACAAGGAACCTGGCAGTACTATCTCTAACAAGAAAAAGAGGCAAAAGTAAGAAGAAAAATTGCCTTTGTATATCCTTTTTATCTCTTAAAATTGAACCAGAATGCATTACTTATTCCAAAAAATTAAAGAGTCTACGGCCATGCTACCCTGAACACGCCCGATCTCATCTGATCTCAGAAGCTAAGCAGGGTCGGACCTGGTTAGTACTTGGATGGGAGACCACCTGGGAAAACCAGGTACCGTAGGTGTAAAATAAATAAATAAATAAATGAAATAAAATAATTAAAGAGAAAACAAAACTGGCTAAATAGATGAATAAAAATAAAGCAAATGGATGATTCACAATGTGGCCTACCACCAATCAATTCAGCTGCAATTCTTAGCAATCAGCAGAAAATCACACAGCAGTTATTTTTTTATTTTTATTTTTTAAGGCGAGGTAACCCTTGATTGACCTCACAGATTGCAAGGACTTTGTCAGCTTACGATCCCTTATTTTTTTATTTTTTACACCTACAGCACCTGGTCTTCCTAGGTGGTCTCCCATCCAAGTACCAATCAGGCCCGACCCTGCTTAGCTTCCGAAATCAGACGGGATCAGGCTTGTTCAGGGTGGCATGGCCACAGACAGCAATTATTTTTTGGTCCCTTTGCCAGCTCCTCCTTTGAGACAAGATACCATACAAACGACATGGTAAACGTTTTTAAATGCCTTCTTCTTATAAAATGTATTATCTAAAATACATAAATGTCTCCCTAAAAAGAAAAAAAATAAACATCATTTTGTATCATAAGTAACTCTGAATGAAACAGCTTATTATTTCAGTAACTTGTAAGAATGCAGTCACTATTGAAATCGAGAAAACATATACTGTCAAAGAGAGGCTGCCAACCGTTCTCCATTACCGGGCACTCTGGGGCTCCTCATCTTCATCGCCATGCATCAAATTTTGAACCAACTGGAGGATGCTCACCATATCTTGTCCACTGCAGAATAAAAAAGAGTTAGCCACTATTGCTTTCATCCAAACTAGTTTTTTAAATTTAGTAGCTACAAGAAAGAATGTGTTTGAGATATAGTATACATCTTTTAAAAACAAACTTCAACTGAATTCTTCAACTGAATTCTGAATATAACCTTACTTGTAATGAATTAAATCTTCTACCTAAATCTGAGATTGATTTTTTAAAACTTCACCGGTACTGTTTCAGCAATACTGCTCTACTTGTTCATTTGAATCCTGGAAAATAAACATGCCACAAGAGCCAAAATGTTCTTATAAGATGCTGACATATCACAGAAGCAACAAGGATACTCCAAAGCCACTATTATATCTAGTTTCCCTCCAAGTAGGCGTCTTGTCTGTTTGTTCTAACAGACTTAAAGATGTAATGCAAGCATCATGTATTACCAATTTTCCCCCAAGCTGGGAAACTGGATATCTGCTTGGAGAAAAAACAGATTTACTTCTATCCAAGATAAGTTACTAAGTGCTCATCATGTGAAAAGGTGAAAATTCCAGGGAGGAATGTGAATGGCTAAAGTAGTAAGCGATGTCAAGGCAACTTGTTTCACACATGTAATGTGAAAGTATTATTGCTTCATTAATGAGAATATGACTAATAAAATGTCTCGTTTGAAAAAGAGACACTGTCAAAACAATGCCCCAACACCCATACTCCCCAGAGTGCTGACCTTCACACGATGGAGGCTCTGGTCCTTGGACACTATGCAGACATTAGGCCAAGTATGCCTAACCACATGACCTTAAGCAAGCTATTGAAACTCCCTAAGCCCTTACATTACAGAACTGTGAAGATGCAATCAGTGCACGTAAAGCATTAATGCTGTGCCTAGCATAGTACTATTTCAGATATTGGCTATCAGCATTATTAAATATGAATACTCCTGTCCAGTGGCTTTAAGGCCCTTCTATTCTAAGAATTAGAGATGGTCTTGGTGGTATCTCTTCCAGGAAAATGTCTGTGGGATCAGTAGAACCCTTTAATTCCCCTCGGTAGGCCTAGGATGGGGGGATTTACAGGATTTGGTTCCTGTTCTGACCTGCAGAACACACTTCACATCAAGAAGGCTTCAAATCACCATTCAAGCTATAAGTAGGAGTGCCTATTTTAAAATATTAGTATCTAGGTGTGCCGGATGTGGCATTTACTGGTATGCTGTGATACTTCCTCCACACTTTTCTTTTGCAACATTGCACATATTTATATTCGGGTCAAAGGACAACTTAAGGGAGTTGTAAAGTTTGCCTATGTGCAGTTTCCTGGTTATAAAAAAAATAAGCTTGTACGAGGAAACCTGGGATTTTAATTCTGAACTGAGGGCTAACATCTTGTGAAAACTTCAGTCAGATAGCTGCTTACTTCTCTGATATTTTCCCTGCTGATCAACCACAAACACTTGAGAGATCTGCTTTAGCTGCCAGAAAATAAATCATTCTGTCAATAAATGATTAAAGTTAGTGCTTTCATTTTATATTACAAAAATAATAAATCTTTTATTAAAATCTCTCGTAATAAGCTCTGTCTACGATATAGATTACAGACAGGTTTCAAGGATGAGCTAAGTATGATAGTCAAACTATAAGTTTGTGCATTGCTTGTGGGTCATGATGTATTAAATTCTGAACGGCAAAGCGGGAGAACCAGGTAGGCTCGGCATTATCAGCAACCAGCCAACGGCATGTCAGGTTTCTAATGGCACACTGCTCAGCTCTAAATTTGCTCTGTGCTCATTAAAACTAAAATTGTAAATTGATGATGGTAAAATCTTGGTTTAAAGAGAATGTACATCATAACGAAAGATGCTTATCTTTGTTGCCACCTACCTGCCCTGGAGAGGCCCTGGAATATCCCCTGACATGAGTTTCTTTCCATTTTCCTCCTCTGTTCTTCTATTTAAAGGAAATAAAAAACTGTTTTATTATATCAGGTTTTTAACATTTAGGCATGCAAACATGTGACAATGTTGCCTATAAATCATTTAGTAACTGAGGTAGGATTTAAACACACTTATCACATTTCTCTCCCACCCCACCCTCACCGCAGCACTCAATGCGGGGTATAGTTTGCTTCAGGAAAAGAACATGAAAAAAATAATACTTCAACCCATTTCTTGTATGTTGATTCCCTACCTGACTTTAATATATAGTAAGAAGTATTTACAGATTCAAATCAATACATTAAGTAAATGAAACTCTTAATAGGCAGAACTGAAAATTATAAGTCCTGCCCCTCAATTTCAAAATCCTTTAATTACAAAGCATCTTCTACCCAAGACAAACACCTACTTTAAAGTCAGCGGAAGCTAAGTGTTACATTCTGAAACCCAGGGGTGTTTTTAACAGCAGGAAACCAGCGCCGCCAGTTTCCCAACAGGCTGAACGTGTTTCATAGGGTCACTTCTGTTCCACAGGCTCACCTCTGACTGTCCTCTAGCATCTTCATGGCCTCCTTCAAGTTTTTTCCCATTTCAATTAAGGTGGGGTCTGCTACCTAGGAAATAAATTTTTAAAAGGTTCAATCTTGATAATCCCTATTACTTCTACAACATAATTCATCCAGAAAAATAAAACATATAAATTTATTATAAAGTACGTTTGATTTAAAAAATTCCAACAGTAAAAACATATAACATAAAAAAGTCCACCAGTTCCACTCCCCAGGGGAAGCCACTTTTTTTTTTAGACTTAGCTTATTATTTTTTAAAATTATTTTAGTTTCAAGTATACAGTACATTGGTTAGACATCTATATAGTTCATAAAACGATCCCCCTAATTGCTCCTTCTCTCCTCTGGTTTTCCATCTAGCCAACATATTAATGCTGACTGCATTCCCTCTGCTGTGCTCCCCATCCCCATGACCATTTATCAACTACTAACTTGTACTCTCAGGGGAAGCCACTTTTAAGTGTGACGTATATCCTTATAAATTTTCACTTTAATCATATGTACCTCTGCAACTTGCTTTTTTCTACTTTAGAGTGAATATGGTTCAATGTCAGTAGGTCTACTTCATATGAGTGGTAACACCTTATCCCATTCTACGGATGTACTACTGTTTAACCAGTCCTGAATTAATGGGTCCTTAGGTTATTTCAGTTTTTCACTATTAAATATAAGGCTCAGAAAAGCATGCACAGTATGCTGTTTTACTGTTGCAGCAGGCTGAAAAATGGCCCCCAAAAGATATTCACATCCTAATCCTTGAGACTTGTGAATGTTACCTCCTATGGCAAATTCTTTGTCTTTGCAGATGTGATTAGGTTAAGGATGAGATGGCAAGGTTGCCCAGGTGGCCCTAAATGCAATCACATGTATCCATATAAGATGCAGAGACTAAACACACTCTCTCTCTCTCTCTCCGCCTCCCTCCCTCCCTCTCTCTCCTCTTTCTTTTTCCTTTCTTCTTAAATCTCCAGAGCAACTTTTAGGCAATTTTGTTGCCTTGAATCTGTATATAGTATGTCTTGGGTTCTAAACAGTTACAGAAGCTCTCTTTTGTCCCCTCTTAGTCTTGACATGTATTCATCTTCTCTCTTCATACTGCTTCTTGTTCTTAGTAAGATCTTATTCCGAGGAGGTATGCAATAAGTTGTATTACACTTAGGTAATACATTACCTCTTCAAAATGGTTTTTAAGAACTTCTACTCAGTTTATATAAGAATCAGAAAGTATTAATTTTAAAAGGATCTAGTCCAGGGGACAATTCTCAATTTCTCAAAAGAGTTAGTAGAAAATTATCAATTTATCTGGAATAAGGTTGCATAGTTTGATGAAAAAAATCACTTATTTTTGCTTTTGGCTAGAATTATGCCAAATCAGTATGAGGAAACTCTGGTACTATTCCTACCCTTATTATTTGGAATGTATGCTATTATTTTGTTCTATTTCATTTGTTTTTGTTCTATTTCATTTTTCAAAAACTGCTGGTCATGATCTGCTAAATTTATTTGACATCCATATACAAGACGTGACCTGCAGTTAAAAAAAAATGTAACAGATGTTGGCAGTTATTAATAATGAGATAAACAAGCATTTGTTAATAAAGTTTATCTACTAAGTATTTGTTTATAACAACCTTTCGAAAGTGAAACTGCAGTAGAAAAATAATACTCTTCTAGCATGAGATTTGGCAACTACTGCTCTACGATCACTTTTAAAATTTTCTCAAGCTTTCAAGCATGCTTAATTAAGCTCTTGTATACGTTTCACTCAGTAAAACCAGTTTACCAAAGTGTGAGAACAAAAATTACATATTTACTTATTTTTAGGGAAAAAATAATACCTCAAACTCTGAATTCATAGACATTATTGTTTAGCAAAATCTTAGTTAAAAGGAAAAAAAGGGGTAGGAGATGGGAGTAGGGGGGGTGGCTAGACTGCAGCGACAGAAAGCAGATCTAGGACCCACTGTCACACGGCACAAGGAAACTTTTGCGGAACTGTTCCTTATCTTCATTATGCTGGTGGTTATATGACCGTATACACCTGCCAAAACTCACACTGTATAATTAAAATGGGTATTTTTATTGTATATAAATTGTCCCTCAATTAAAAAAAAGGGTGTGTTGATTTAAAGTCAATTTAAAAGAAATATTAAGCAAATAATAGTACACCGATGTGACAGAATTCACAAAGATGGTATATGAATGACTGCTATTTTGGAAATATAGAGCAAAACCTTTAAAGAGAAGCAGCCTCCAGAAAAAAGGAAGAAAGGAAGTCTAAAATGTAATTTTAAAATATATAAATCATGACCATTAATAATAGAAGTATATAATACTATAGGTTATTGAAACTATAGTATTGAAACTATAGTTTCAATAACCATTTTTCAGGGTTGGGATATTCATAATTGGGGGGGTTCTAGGGCTACTGACAGAAGGAAAACTAAGTGTGTGAGAATAACAGCTGCCTGTCTCAGAGAGAAGACCTTGGTGTCATTAAATGCTAGTTTACAGTGCATGTATTAGATGTATAAAAAATCACTACCTTTCTTCAACTGATCCAAGTGATCTAATAAAGCTCTGAAGTTTTGTGTTTCTAACAGCTTTCTAAACAAGGTTAAACCTGGATAGTGATAATTATGCAACTAATTTGGAGAATCAATAGTCTCCAAAAATCCTATATTCCGCCCCCAGGTGAAAACATAAACAAGTGCCTACTATCTGGCCCTACTACCCCCAATACAACTCACCTCTTGAAGCAACAAGAGCATGGAAGCAGCTGCCCTAGGAATGGAGCTGTTTCTTATGGGTCAAAGATGAGAGAAAACAACAGGAATTCTCTGGAAAGTTGATATAGTGCCTTGCTAACTGGCTTACCTTATTGGAGGCTCAGTTTCTACATCTGTAAATGTTTTTGCCTGTTTTCAACAGAAAAGTACTTAAGAACTGGGCACTTTTGTCTCTGTCTTCTAAGAATTGGATATTCTTGGGAAATCTTATTTTTAACTACCATAGATTCTGTGCTTCAGTGTGTCTGTGAGAACATGAAGACACTGTAATTACTGGCTCACTGAGCTTAATATTCCTAGTTGAAAAATGATATGCAAATACTGCATATGGTGTTAGTATTTGACCTTACAAATTCCTCAAGAAGAGAGGCAAAAAAGATTACGGAAAAAGATGGGGCAAAAATACACTAAGAGAGTGGTAAAAATCTGGTAGAAATAAGGAGGCAGCAAAGTTAGTAACATCAATTAAACCTGTCATAGACAGAAGTGTGTGGAGGGAAAAAAAAGGCAATCAAATCACTCTCTTTAAGATACATGCTGAGAATGCCAGAAATCCCAGTTTAAGTTTCAAAAAACGTATTCCTAGAGACCACTACTTCTGGAGAATCAATTCACTTGGACATCACGAGTAAATGCTTCCCGATAACCACAGAAAAGGAAAAATACCACACACCAGGCAAGCTCTATTTCTAAAAGTTTACAAGGTTATCTGGAATCACATGCTTATTCCGGAACAAAAAGGAAATTGCTGAAAATTGCTGTAGTCACTGGAAAAAATAAGCCTTTCACTGAGATATGCTTCTTATAGCGATCTGTTTCCTAGGACTTGTTGGGGGATCAAATCAGAAATATGAAGATATCCATTATCCTTATCAATATCATCATTTCCTAAATTGAATTAGAATTATGTAAGATTAATGCTGCCAGCCTTATCTTGAATATAGTAAGAATTCTGAGGAAAGGAACTCATCAATTCTTGACGCCTGTGTATCTATAAATCTTCAGACCTTTAAAGTTGAATTGTGTGAAACTTGCCAATATTCAACTGTTTTTAATGCAAAAAAGAACAATTTCACATGTTCTGCATACATCCTAACACAATGTCCAGTCCAATAAGTAATCCAGCCTCACTAGGATCCTGAAAGGTTCTCTACAGCTGAATAGTCAATGTTACTGAGTTGCACTTTCAAAGTGAAGGCTTTATTTTGCTATTTCTGGCTTTTCTGCAAATAGGAAAAAATTATATTAGAAAAGTTTGTTCCTTCCTTAGTCATTTGAAATTCAGAATGCCTTTTCCATAGAAATAAAAAGTGGATAGGGCTCCGGGCTAAACCTCAAGGACCATCTACTTTAGGGTGGTTAAATATTTAAGCAAAAACTATTTAGCAAAAAACATTTGCAATAATAAACAAAATAAATTTGAAATAATTGCATGGCCCTTGAATACTGCTTGGAAAGAATGGATTAAATTTAAGCTAGATAAATTTTTTTCCCCCAAAAAAGATTTTTATTTTTATTTTTGATAAATTAGATTTCTGAAAGGAGTTTTTGGACATTTTCAAAGTGACTGGAGGTGTCTTTTTAAAATATCTGATTTAACTTCTAAAGATGAAATGGCTTTCCTTTCCCTTAATATATATTCTACCAGCAACAACATAAGACACAATAATATTATAAAGTAAAAATCTATATTATATTTACATTAGAAACGTCATGACTCTGAACTTATTTCTATCTAAAAAAATCTCTTCCACAAACTTTTTCCTGGTCACTCACTCCATGCACTGTCTTCATTTGTTTCCTATTTCCTGTGCTACTTCTTACCCCTCCTTGCTATGCAAGGATTTGCCTAAACACAGTCAGCTCCTTACCAGAACCTAACCTGCTGCAGAGATGATGTTTCTTCACCTTGTGTCTCTCTCAGCATTCAACATTGGGCTTTGACCAAAGTTGGCTTCTATAAAAATTATAAATCAAACAATGCTTCTGCTTTAGGTGAAAACTGATGACAATAAGCTCGAGCAACTCATAAACCTACGTATTGGGGAACACATGGGACTGAGGACCATCAGTAGCTCTGTTACTGACTACCTCTGCCATCTTAAATAAATCAAGAATCACCAAGGCCATAAATTTTTAGAATCAAGAACTTTGTACCTACTCCATTTTCTCTGACACCCAGTATTTGATAATCATTTACCACCTTAGCCACCATGCACCTGTATGCAAAACTCTCACATCAGGATGACATAGGGTCCGCTTTAAAGGAACACTGAAATTACAGGCTAATATCTCCTCATGTAAGTCCCTCTACTCTATGTAAGAGTAGAATCTACAAAGGCACACCACAGAAACGAGTCATTTCAAGTTTAGCTATTAAGGGTTCTTTTTGTGAACATTTAAAGTAAAAGGTAGGAACAGAAATTCCGGTAGTCCTTATCAGCAAGGATCAGGAATGTTGCATTCGTGCTCCTACTGCCCCTTATAAACTTATAAACAGTAAGGTGATAAAGAATTTTTCAAAATCAGGTCCAAAAGTGTGTGTGTTGGCGGGGAGAGGGGGGATTTAGCTCAGGATGAGTATGGGAAATAAAAATGGATTGGACTGTAATTATTTAGGTCAGAAACAGGGTAAAAGTCGCCTCTTTTAGAGACAAGAATTAGATACACAGCAGATAAACTGGCCCCACTCTCTAGCATTATCCACAGAACTTTCTGTGGTGATGGAAAGTCCCTTATCTGTGCTGTCCAGGAGCCGCACTGTGACTGCTGAGCACTTGAAATGTGGCTAGTGTGACTGAGAAACTGAATTTTTAATTTAATTTTAATTATCTAAATTTAAATAGCCAAATATGGCTAGTGGTTACCATATTGGACAGTGCAGCTCACGGTTCTCTAAGTGGTTCTCAACCAGAAGCAATTTCCCACCCCCAGGGAACAACTGATTCACCTGGGGGCTTTTTTGATTGCCACACAGTGGGGAGAGGGTGCTAATGGCATCTAATGGGTAGAGGCCAGCCGCGCTGCTAGACATTCTACAATGCACAGGACAGCCCCACAACAGAGAATGATCCAGCCCCAAATGTCAGCAGTGCTAGTTTGAAACACCCTGCTCTAAGTTTACTCAAGGTTGGAATTAAGTAAATGTAAAATGAATTGCAACGCACCTTGTCTAAACATACTATCCAGGAAGAATGAGATTTTCCAAGCCACAGGACAATGTCTGGGCTGTCCTACAAGTTTAAATTAGCAGGTTTTCACTAAGAACTGTATGTCAGTGTGTTGAATAACTTATTAAGAACTTCAGCATCAGAGTAATTACTTCCTGTGGCATTTTTTAACTCAAATATTAATACAAGTAAGCACTGTGAGACTCTGCTATGGGATCTCGTTCCTTTTAAGTTGGACATACAGTATTAGGGGGCTGAGGCCTACTCTTCTAGTTTGAATTCCTGGGGTCTTCAGTTAACCTATTTGGTTTCTTAAGACATCACTAATTTCAGATACAAGAAGAAAACAGATGCTATGGTGAAACTCAAAAGACAAGAAAATGGCTATCATCGCAGGTCTGCACATCTACATATTACCTAAAAAAAAAAGTAAGAACATGGAATTATACTTGGACCAAAGGAAATGTACTGAGTGATCCTACTAAATGATGGCAGCATACTTCATATTTTAGAGTGAGAGATTACTTGAAATTTTAGACGATGGATATCAAATAACATTGTGGTTTCTGCAGCTAGTATAAATTATGCAAGGATTCATTTAAATGGAATCATTCTAAATTTTTCAAATAGTTCTCAAATTTATATTAGCAATGTAGAATTTAGCCCAGGATAGTAAATTCCTCAAAGTAACATGAGTAATAGGCACAATTCAATGTTTAACTTAAACTACTTTTCAGAACATAAAATCTTCGATATTCATATTACAGCAACCTTTTTTCTTCTCTGGCCACTTAGCACTGAGAAGTTGTTCATTACATGTAAGGCGCTCAATTGCCTCAGGAAATGAAAAAAGACAGTCCCAGTTCTGAAAAACTTATTCAGAATTCCCACACTGGCCTAACGCAGAAACTTCAGCCCACACATTTTGAATTCCTAAAAGATCACTGTAATTTTTGTGACTGCTTCAGCCTTAAGCACTTTGGAGTTTCAGTACCTCTTCAGATCTTCATCTGGAGAGTTTAAGATCTTTTATCATCATTAACATTTAGGGGGCAACCACTGTAATCTACTAATCAAATGTCAGAAAAGTAATATTTAAAGCTGGATTCCGACCCACTCTGTTTTGCAGATTTGCCTATAAAGAACTATTCTTGTAGAAAAGATCATCCCAGTTCTTCAGGTTTCTAATTGAAATGACAAAAGCCCATCCTATCTTCTTATGACACTGGAAGGGAAACAGTGAAGGGACATTTTTAGCATCATTTTGTATTCAACTATTGGTGTGGCATACACGATCTAGACCAGGGCGCTCTCAGCCTCAGCACCACTGGCTTTCTGAGCAGATAATTCTTTGGTATGTGGGCCTGTCCTGTGCAATGCAGGATGTTCAGCAGCAGTCCTGGCCTCCACACACGAGGTGCCAACAGCCTCTCCCTAACCCGTAGTTTGGGCAATCAAAAATATCTCCAGACATTGCCAAATGTCCCCTGGGGAACAAAACTGTCCCGTGGTTGAGAATCACTGCTCTAGACTGAAACTCCAAGTCCCCAAGTGTAGACACTGTGCAAATCAGAAGCCTGGAAAGACTTTATTCCTAGCAGGTAAGACACGTAACATTCACCAGAGAGACGGTGGAAGAAAAACATTATTTTTTCTTTTCTTGATTGCATTCTCCCCAATTTATGAGAAACAGCCGAGGCATGGGCTACACCACTGTATACTTATGAAGACATCTGACTGAACTTGTATAATGGCTCCAGTGACAAGGGAACAAATCTACAGCAGCTAGCTGCTGCACCAGCAAGTAACAAAGTATGTTATTTCTGCCAGTTCAAAACTGACATAAAGCAGTCCTAAAACACTAGCATTGCTCCTGAATTCTACATGTATGAAAAACTGAGTCTGGATAAGCAGGCTCCCAAGCTTGAACAGAGAGAAAGACTTAGAAGGGAGGGAGAACGTCGGGTTCTGAAGGTAGGTATCCGTGAAGAGATCAAAGCACTGGTTCTCGTTTACCAGCCCTAAATTCAGGACGATTAGAATCCCATTTCACACGCCACAGCAGTCAGCCAGGTACATCACGCTGCAGTTCCCCTAAGGGGAAACCAGAGCAAAGCGCTGCAATCCCCAAAACGAAATTCACAATCTACAGTCCATCCACTCTTTCTTGACCTCAGGCGTCTCAGCCGGTGTCCACAAACGACAGCATCCGAATCACGTGGAGAGCTTGATAAACACGCAGAACCCGCCCCCAAATGGTTCGGACCCGAGGGCTGAAAAATCTAGATTTTACCTGAAGGGCCCCATGTGATTCCTAGGCAAACTGAAGTTGGAAAAACCACTGCTTTAATATTTTTCCTTCCTAACCTGGAACGCCCAGAAAACCTACAGCTTTGCAGCTGGCTTAACAACTGGGGCTTCTTTCCTGGTGCTTCTGGGGCCGTAAGTTGTTAGCTCTGTCATCCGAAGGGGCTCAGGGAGGCCCCAAGGTCGGCCCCGCGGCCCCCGCTCGCAGCCCGAGGCAGAACGCGGCCCAGCCTCTCTCAGTCCATGGGGACCTTAAAAGGCTCACGTCCCCATGACATCACCAGGCCCCAGCCGCGAGCGCCAGGCCAGACGGCCTCCTCAGGCGGGACCCGTTAGCCCCCCGGCCCCGTCCCCCGCCACAATGACAGCACGCAACAGGGAAACAGTCGCTCCGGAGGTGGGGGCCCCGGGCTGCAGCGCCGCCCACAACCCCGGTACGAACCTTCTCCAGGGACACGTCCATGGCGGAGCCCGATGGAGGCCCGGCGGTCCGGGATGCTACTTCCGCCTCCCGTTCCCCGCCGCCGTTTCCACGCTGGCAGCGCTGACGTCCCCGCGCCCGCGGCTGGCGGGGCGGAGCAGCCAGGCAGCGCCGCTGGGCGGAGAGTATGCGGGCGCCCGGGAGGCGGGGCGCAGCGGGGCGGGTCCCCTGACGTGGGCGGGCACCTCTGGGCTTCCGTACCTGGACGTCACGCCGGCCAGCCCTAATGTTCCCAAGCGAGAGGGGGAGGATGGACGGTGGAACCGTCCCAAACTCTTTTCGGAAACCTGTCGCAGGCGTCAGGGTGAAAATATAATAATCACAAACTATTATTCATGCAGCAAAAGCCTGGAATTACTAGTAACGCGCCTGTACTTCCAGGCCTAGGTTTCCAAATGCTCCCTAGACCCACCCCTCAAGAATGGAACAGTCCGTCACGACAGAAGGGCGGGGCGCGAGAGCACCCCTGCGCATGCGCAGCCTAGACAGCGTCCTAGGTGTTCTGGGATCTGAGGGTTTCCAGAATTGAGCTCCCTAGTGGGCTCTGAAAAGGTGCTGGTCAGAGTTGAAGTATTTGTCTCAGCCCTTGCCGCAGAATTCTAGACGGAAAGGACTTTGAGACAACTGGCCTTCTCCTTTGTGTCAAGCCGCAGTTATGACTTGTCAGGTAATGATAATGGTGATAGATCACCTGCTGCTCTTCCTTTTCATAGTGCAACAGTCGTATGATGTAGAGGTTATTATTATCTCCATTTCACAGTGCTAATCTAGGTAGGATTCAGACCCGAGTACCCTGACTGCAGCAACTGCACACTACACAGACTGCCTCCATAACCGCTCCCATCTCTGCTATATAATCACGGGGTTCTAAGGAATGGGGGAGGGGACGTGGAGAGCATAAATTTGCTCATTATAGTCCTCTAAAAGAGGAAAACCGAAATAGAGTAGTCTACCACCGTTGAATTTAGTTAAGCTAAATTTTCACCAGTAGAAGACCGCTGGTATTAAACCACAAAAACCATTCCTTCTCTCTCCTGTTTTGTGATTATCTCTTTCAAAACCTGCGTGACTGACTGGGTCACATTTTCAAATGTAGTAATTACATATTTTGAGCTATCTAACTTGTATTTGGTAAATTGTCCGGTTATTTCAATAAAATTTTCCATCCTAAGAACCCTTGTGTGCTGGTTCGGAGTGTACCTGAGAACTATTCAGGTTCTCCAAAGAGCTCCAGAAACAGAAGGAATGATAGGTTTGTCTTCCAAGATCTAAAAATGGAATGTACCTCTGACTGAGCAAAACAAGTCACTTTTCCAATTGTTATTATGAAAATTTTCAAACATTTAGAAAAGTTAAGAGAATTGTGCAGTTGACACCCGTGTACCCACTGTCTAGGTTCTACTGTGAACATTTCCCTATATATATTTTTCTTTATCACATAATATCTGTCAATCCAGCAATGCATCTTCTGTTTTGATACACTTGGAAGTTGCAGACATAAATACTTTTCACCCTTGGACACCTCAGCCTGGGTATCATTAAAAACTTGTAATTTTTAAAGCCACCTCCAAGTAACTGTAGATTACATTACAAAGTAGAATCTACAAAATAAATACTAGAGAAGTTAAATTTAACTTTTCTATTTTAAAAATAGACTTTAAAACCCAACAAAAAAGTGGAATAATTAGTTCATTTAACATTTACCCAAATATTTGACTACCATCTTGAGCTGTTAAGCTCTAGAAATAAGAGACTAAGACAAGATCCTGCTCTTAAGAAAACATTGTTTATGGCAGACGTTTTTACTTTGGGGCTCAGGGAGAGATCTGTAAAACTCCTGAAACTATACTCAAAATTTTCTGTGTGAGCCGTTGAGAGTGTCCACAGCTTTCATTTTACACTCATTTTACTCTCTCTCTCTCTCTCTCTTCCCCTCTCCCATTCCTTTCCCCTCTCCCTCAGGCAAACAAAATTAAAACCATTTGACTCGTGGATAGATAAGTGAGCTGATAAATTATAATGCAGCATTCCATGGGCTAGTACAGAGATGAGAAAAATACTATAGGAAGCCAGAGCATGAAGCCTCTCATTGTGGGGATATTCAGCTTATATCTGCTGATAGAGGCCTTTCTTGATTACTAAGCAAAAAGCAAATCAAATAAAGGAAGTTTGTGAGTTTTTTTCCCCCTTTGGGTCCATTTACATGATTTTTGTTGTGTCCCTAATAATATTTATTTAATCATATTGCAGATATTGGTTTTTTTTTAGAGTGGTTTTTTTCCCCATCTTTATTGAAATATAGACAATTAGTTGCTTGTATTTACATTGAACAAGTCAATGAGTTTTTTTCCAATTATAGTTGGCATACAAAAATTTACCAGTTTTAGTTTTATAGCATAGTGATAGGAGACCTACATAACTCGCAAAGTGATCACCCAACTAAATCTAGTACCCTTCTTTCCCCTTACACATTTATTACATTATTAACCTTCTTCCCCATGCTACACTCTACATCTCCATGTCTGCAACTATCCTTTTGTACTTTTTAATCCCTTTACCTTTACCTTTGCAACTATCCTTTTGTACTTTTTAATCCCTTTACCCTTTACCTTTGTCCCCCAAACCCTCTCCCATCTAGTGTCCCTCTAAATATGCTCTGTATCTATGAGTTTATTTCCGCTTTTGTTGTTGTTGTTGATTTTGTTCTTTAAATTCCACATGTATATGAAATCATGCGATATTTGTCTTTCTCTATATGACACATTTCATTCAGCACAATACCCTCTAGGTCCATCAAGGCGATATCTTTTTCCATCCTCTTCCTTTTAGTCTGTGTGTTTTTTAATCTGAAGTGAGTCTTTTGTAGGCAGTATATGTAGGGGTCTTGTTTTCTTATCTATTCAGCCACTCTATCTTTTCATTGGAGCACTTAATTCTATTTTCTATTTGAGGTATTTGTTGGTAGGAATGTATCGTTCTTTATTCCTGTTTTTCATACACTTTTTTTTTCTTCTTAAAGAAGTCCCTCCAACATTTCCTGTAATACTGGCTTGGTGTTGATTAATTCCTTTAGCTTATTTTTGTCTGGGAAGCTCTTTATCTGTCCTTCAACTCTAAATGATAGCTTTGGTGGATAAAGTATTCTTGGTTGTAGATCCTGGATCTTCATCACATCAAATATTTTGGACCAAGCCCTTCCGTACTGCATCATTTCTTTTGAGAAATCAGCTGCCAGTCTTATAAGTGTTCCCTTGTAGGTAACTATCTGCTTTTCTCTTGCTGCTTTTAAGATTCTTTCTTTGTATTTAACACTTGGCATTTTAATTATGATTTAAATTACGTGTTTGGTGTGGGCCTCTTTGGATCCCTGGTTTTGGGGGTTCTCTGAGCTTCCTGGGGTTGTGTATCTATTTGCTTCACCAGGTTAGGGAAGTTTTTCATCATTATTTCTTCAAATACCTCTTCAATTTCTTGTTTTCCTTCAGGTACGCTGATGAGACGGATATTTTGACCTTTAATAGTGTCTCATATGCTCCTTAAATTATTTTTATAGTCTTGGCATCTTTTTGCTTGTC